GAGAGAGAGAGAGAGAGAGAGAGAGAGAGAGAGAGAGAGAGAGAGAGATTTTCTAGTCACTTTAAATTTTTTAAATAGAAATATATTCTTTTAACACAAAAATCAATTTCTATAATCATTTGATATATATAAATATTGGAATAAAATAAAATATAATAAAATAATATTTCGGAAGGTATATTCACTTTTTGATAATTTTACTCCAATACTTTCATACGCGATGTGTATGTGTATATGTGTGCATGTGTGGTCAGAGGAATTTACTTGTTTTAGAGAAAATATATAATTATACTTAAAAAATATAAAATGACGTTTAAACCTTTTACACTTCCACTTAAAAAAATCATTGTCACTACGTTACGTCTCCTTCGAAGCCATAAAACTTTTGTAGACACTATTTTCTTGTATTGTTTGAAATTTCAAAGATAGCAAAGATGAACAACATTATTGTTCTATCCTGTATAATTAAAAATAAAAAGAATATTAACTGTATGTTTATGTATCTTGAGATTATAAGGAAAATAGTAAGATACTCTATCGCCTTTATTTTAAATATTTTTTCGAACATATCTTTATAAATCTCAAAATATTTTTATTTCTTCTTTCTATAATTTGTTTTCCAGTGTATTTCTACTGATCAGAGTAAAAGAGAGAAATATCTAAGTATTTTACAAATCTGCGCGATCGACCGCAATTGTCATTTTATGTGAACACACTTTAATGTCCACACATTTCGTGAGTATTTCGAAAGTGTATTCTTGCGCTTCCGACTTCACCAATTAAGGTGATCGCGGCGACGAATCGGCAGCCTTGAGCTCCGGTGTATAAATCGCAATTGCAATTGCCGCACGACTGACACGTCCTTTTCGCAGGATCATAGTTTTCTCGCAATTCTGGGCGAGAGTGTACCTGCTGCGAGGCGCGGCTCGCGTGCTCCGAAGATCTAAGGCCGAGCGTGTCGTACGGGTGTTCCACTTCGGCGATTGGTTCCTACTGCAGCAACTCGCGGAGAACGTCAATCCGGTCGTGTACAGGGAGCTGGTTAACGAGATAGCGAAAGCGTTCGCGACGAAGAGTTTCGCGAACTTCGCCTAGATCGCCTCGATCTCGCCTAAGTAGTATTACTTGGAACTCAATTTACGGAACTCGAAGTGCTCCCGCAAGAGTGCAAGCGTTCAATGGACACTCTCGGACTGAATACCTAGTCTAGGAAGGGAAGGAGAGAAAAAGAAAAGCGCACGGAAAAGGAGAAAGCATGTAATATATCCGAAAAACGTGTAACCGTTAAGTTTTTCAATAAAGGATTGAAGTTTTCGAAAGAGCGATACGAATCCACGAATCCACCGAGGCGCTTTCATCGACTGCGTAATCCGTCAGTCTCGAATTTCTTCTCGCCTGCATGCAGCGACGCGGACGCGAGCGGCACAATGCGAACAGCTTCACGCCGGCGTGACTCTTTTGTTCGTGCAGCGGCATTCAATTGTCTCGAAACAGAAGCTGCATGAAGACGTCACTCTCTCGGCGGTGTATCTCCATAGGAACGCGAGCTTGATTCAGCAAAATTATCCGAGTTGCGATTCTTAGGGTTAGGGATTTTGCAGGAATTGTATCGAAAGTCCCGTCGCGTCGAACATCCTTCTTGATTTTACCAAGCCAGCGCGCCTCTAACGCCGCTTTCGCGAGGAAACACGTCCGGCTGGCACTCCCGAGGTGAGGAGGAAAACGACTGTTTCCGGAACCTCCGACGCAGCGCCGAGTTACAGCGAAGAGGAGGATCCGTTCAGCTGAGGGACCAGCGACATGCGTGAAATAGCGCATCTCCAGGCCGGCCAATGCGGCAATCAGATCGGAGCGAAGGTACTTTCTGCTCTCTTTAATCCTTTCAGCAATCGCCAGATAAGTGTATATCAGTTTAGCCTAATCCGTTGTTTGAGTAGTGCTGTTAATTGAGAGATAAAGTCGATCTAACACATTATCGTGAAATACTAAAATCGTCCTGATGAAATGATCGTTAGATTGTCAGTTTAACGTAGAGCTTGTCTGAGCATTGCTGTTAATTAAAATACAAAATCGATCGGGCGAATTTACCTGGAAAGCTCAAATCGTTGTGACTAAATAAACGCCAGATAAGCGTATCAGTTGAATGCACCGCTTATGCGAGAGCATTGTTATTAATTAAAAAAAGCGAAATGAGATCTATCGACTGAATTATGGTGAAAAACTGAAGTTTTTGTGATTAAAGAATCGCCGGTAGTGTAACGATTAAGAGCGTTACTATTAATTAAAAGGCATGATCAACTTAACAAATTATCGTGAAAAACTGAAACTATCGAAAAAGTCGTTAGACTGGCATATCAGTTTAGCTTAAAAGTAGTCTGTATATTATTATTAACTGAGAGACAGAATCAAGTTAGCAGATTATCGTGAAAAACAGAAATATCCGCGACTAAAAAATCCAACTAGATTAACGTATCACGTGGCGCGCGCGCACGTAAAGATTATCTGAGCATTGTTATTAATAAAAAAAAAAAGAGAAAAGAAAAATCAATCGGCCGAATTATCATGGAAAGCTGGAAATCGTCGTGGTTGAAGAATCGCTGATAACTATTGTGTAACGGTTATTCGAGAACATTGCTATTAAATGAAAGATACAATCAACGTAACAAATTGTCGTGAAAAACTGAAATTGTGGCGAACAAATAATCATTGAATATCGTTTAGCGTAAAGGTTGGACATTGCTATTAATTAAAAGACGAAATTGAGCTAACAAATTATCGTAAAAGCTAAAATCAGTGTGATTTAATAATCCGGATATACAATATGTATCAATCTAGCATTGTAACAGTTATGTGAGGGCATATACATTTGAATATACAATATGTATCAGTCTAGTGTAATTACGTGAGAGCTATTACTATTAATTAAAAGAAGACAGAGAGAGAGGAAGAGAGGCAGGGCAGGGGAGAGGGGGGGGCAAGAGAGAGAGAGAGAGAGAGAGAGAGAGAGAGAGAGAGAGAAAGCGAGCGAACTTAAATTTTCTTTCCTTGATTTTTACCTGTTTGTTTGCACAATGTAATATATTATTATATTATATATGCTAAATGTGTGTGTGGTTTGCCATTAATAAATATTATTATTATTACCATTTATTAAATCTATATTATCATATAGATTTATTATTACTATCATCATTACACAAGTGTTTTGCACAATTACGTAAAAAAAAGATGACTGTAGGGGGAGTCCTTAGATAAATTCTAATATATAAAACATACAATAACAATAGACGTAATGCACTTGATAGACAACTTTCAAAGTTATTATTTTAGGAAGAGACATATTTAATAAAAATTTTCTTATTGATGAGCTTTATCATAAGGAACGGTGTATAAAATATTTCTTCTTTATAATAAAATGTCTTAATATGTAAAAGCTGTATTTGTCAGATTAGTAATGTCAGATGTTTAAGCTTTCAGGAGTTTGTATTCGATAGATAGAAAGAGGGAACAAAAGAGAGAGAAGGAGAGAGAGAGAGGGAACAAAAGTGGGAGAGGGAGAGGGGGGAGAGAGAGAGAGAGGGGGAGAGAGAG